GTTTTTATTTTGGTTGCTGAAGTTTTCTATTTTTTCTGTTTGAAAATTACAATACTTGTATTAGTGTTATGTATCTCTGACTTCAAATGTAAATCTGTGCATATTTTTCTCTTTCTTGTGTGTTTTGTGTGACTTATGGTATATGTTTTTTTTTTCACTTTTCATGTGTGGTCTGGTTTTTTGGATTTGTAGGTTATTTTCATAGTTTTGAGGGGTGTGGCGACAGGAGCAGATTTACTCTAAAAATAATTGCTTGGTAGTTTTTGTTTGGCTTTAAAACATACTTTTCGGGTGTACGTACTGCAATGATCCAGACTAGACCTTACATTCTCCCTAAATTGTGGGTTCATTTGTATATTATACGCTGATTTGATTATTCGAGTTTTATTTTATCTCAAAAACTTAATAAAGAATCTCTCTTCCCCATGCTCGCCTACTGTTGCAACAGTATTCAACTTTTTTTTATTAGGCCCTTGCTTCTGTGGATGTTGATATATATAGATTGTTTTTGTTTTTGTTCGAGAGAATCACGATTAAGATGGTTTGAGCATGTGTGTAGGAGAGACTTTGAGGCACCGGTGAGAAGGGTAAAAACATTAAAATTAAGAACGCAAATTATAAGGGGGAGGGGTAGAATTAAGAAAAACTTGGAAGGAGACAATAAAAAATAATTTAAAATATTTAAATTTGAATGAGGATATGTGTTTTGATTTAGCACGATGGCGACATGTGATTCATATAGCCAACCCCATTTTAACTGCTTGTTGATTGATTAATTGATTGGTTGTTGGCTTTTTTAATGCTTCTGCACTGAAAAAAAAATACACATCTTCTATATGTGTGTTTTTTGGCTTCGTATTGACTTGTTTATTTTGCTTACCTGATAATGTTTTGTACATAGTTATGTGGTATACATATCTTTCTGGCTCATTTTACATATTAATTTTATTTTGTGTTTTAAATATTTGTTTGAGTCCCCTTATTTTCATTTTGAAGTTACTGTTTGTCTCTATTTTTTCAAATGCATTGGTGTATTTCTTAATTGCAGAAAAGCTATCGTGTATGTAGGTGCTTGTGTGTGTGTGGCCTTGGTATTTAGGTGCTTTGTTTCAGTGAAATCCATAAAAAACTTTTGGATGACTTGTTTATGATGTCTTCAGGCTACAAATGCTTCATATAAACACAAATAAATGCTTCTTGTGTGCTAATTTATTTGGTTGTTGTGTTTGTCTTTCTATTCTCAAGGTTATTATCCTACCTTTCTTCAAAATCATGTTCCTCTCATTCTTCCGGGTTTGTGTTTTTTTGGGATGTGTATTTAGGTTTAGTTGCACTCTTTGATTTGGTGTTGGTTCAATTGTTGTTTGGGTTTTCAACTGCACCTACACTTAAAAATAATTTTGTGTCTGTTGATGTGTGTGCTTTTTCAACCTGGTATCCGACTTGTTTGTTTTATTTGGCTGATGGTTTGGTGATCATTGTTATGGGGTTTGCATGCTAATAAAAAATATAGTTTTGTTGTTGGTGGTGATGTCTTCAGTTTTCCAATGCTTCATGTAAACTCATTTAGGTGCTACTATGTGCTCATTTACATTTTGTGTTCCATATTTTGGTTTTATGTTCTTAAATTTAGTTTTCTGGTAACTCTTTTTTGCATTGTTATACAATATTTGTCTTTTTTGCTGGTCACTCTTTCTATTTTTACTTAGTTCTAAGGTGTTCATTGCTTTGTATGAAATAAAGTTGAGTTCGACTATATTTATAAGGAATTTTATTTTGTGGTTAGCTTTTCACTTTGATATTAGTGCTTATTAAATGGATTGGAGATGCCTCCGTGTATGTTTCATGGACAGATTTCTTATGATTTTTATTGTTCCCATTTTTTGCAAAAGGAACAGTGATTTCACACGACCACCGCTGCAAATTGGCCCCAAGATGGAGCAAGCAATGTAATGGTTGGGTTTTATGTTTGATTGTTATATGTTTTGCTTGAAATTAGAATAGTATTTTTGATTATATAGGATTGACCATTCATTATGCATTTGGGTTCTTTCATTTATTTTTATAGGTTTGAACTTTATCTATCAGTGTGCAAATGTGTTCTGCATTTTATTTATATGAACGATGGATCATCTTTCAAAAGCTATTAGATATTTTTATTATAGGTATAGATCTAGAAAATTAGACTTTTCTCTTCCAGTGAATGAGTTTTCAATTTATAACATCATCTAGAGTTTTTTGGTACTGACCTTAAATGAAGTTTTTCAATCACTAAAAGCTACAACAAAGGTTTGGACTTTGTAGCATTTCTTTGTTTGTGTAAATTTCTTTTTTTTTTAAAAAAAAATAAAAATTCTTCTTCAGTATCCTCCATAATTGAAGTTTATATATATATAACATATGCGATCAATTAGACAGGTGTATATTGAAGTTGCTAAGTTTCTTGCATGAAGTTTATATCAGTGAAGTACTTTTTAGACCCTTACATATCTACATATACGGTCTCTGGCTGTTTATTATCGGCAATGGCAATGGAGGATTTGTTTAGCTGCATACATGGCTCCACCTGAAGAGTGAGGTAAAGAAAAGTAAAATCTTCACTGGGACTTGGGAGTGTGAGCTTCATATATTTGTTAATGAATTTTGCATTTATTGAGCTCGTGGAGTGACAATCTTCCTATAATAATTTATAGAATGTAGTTCTATATGACATTTGTATATATATTTAGTAAATGTTAGATTGCAATAATTAGCTATATTTAGTAAATGTCTGATATTGATTGAAATGTTGTGTGATGTTTTATTTAATAAGCTTTTAATAGTCATTCTTTTGGTAGTTAACTCCATTTGTTTTATTTGAACATAATTCACATATTACAAGTGCATTCAAATGTTCATGACATTGCTTATCAAAGTTATATTTTCAGAGGTTTGGGTTGATCTATGACTCGGTGGAGAGTGCGGATAAATTCAAGCCAATATACAGGGTAGGTAGTTATATATATATATGTTTATGTTCGGTTAGCACTTTTCGTTTCTTATTTTGAATTGTATTATCCTCAAGTCTATGATAGTGGAATCAATTTTGAATTGAGAGATTATATGAGAAATAGTAATCACTTTTCGTCAACACACTTGATATCCTCAAGTCTATTGATCTTATCAATTTTAAGCTGGTACGGATATTTCTTGATTGGTCACTAAGATTTTTGGAAGAGTGTGAGCAATACTTACCCTTTTTCACTCTTTTCCAATGGCACGAAAAAATTCTGTATAGATGATAAAAAAAAAAAACTGTATAGAGAAAAAATAAAAATAAAAAATTGCATAATCTTAGTCAAACGAATTTAGCCCCAAGTCCTGACCCATTTTTATAAACCTAATTATCATAGCGGCATAAGATCCATCGTATAACATTCATATTTACGTGCAAGTATAATATGAATTTACAAAGAAAACCCCACATGATAAAGTAGTTCATGAAATTGCTTGAGATAAATGCTTACTTGGATGACCGTACTTTACCCAAAACATTGTCCTAGAATAAATATAATTCAACTTAACATATGACTTGACTTGGATTAATATAATTACTGCATTATCAGATTAAAAAAATCACTATATAACACAACAATAGTCATATATAAATAGAAAAATAGCATACGGTCAAAATTTTTATTACAAATAGATAAGTCATATATTTATTAATTAAAATTATCTAAATTAGGCCCGACATTGATGCGCATAGTCGAAAACAAACACGAGTGAGCAATTAAAGAGGAATATACTTTGCACACTTCATTGTTTTAAAATTGAATGATCAATAGGCCGATTCACTTTTGTTTATTTTGTTTGCTTTTTAGAGATTTTTTACTGTTAATTTAGTATGGTTAAATATGATTCACTTTACTAAGTGCAAATAATTTTGGGTGAAATTAAAATGAAGTGTGAGCTATTCGCTATTTATAAATAATAAAGTAATCAAATTAAAAAAATTCAAGATTAAGAATTAGTTTTGAAATAAAGTACGTATACAATAATGGCTAAAAATTTGTGATTTAATGCTTGGAAATTATAAACTCTATTTTAACCAGGAATGCAAATCTATTATCTCAACATAAATATTTTTCCAATATCTCAATCTAAATTTATAATATTATAGGTTCGCTATATTATTTTCAACACGACAATGTATTTCCACGTATGTTATATGAGCTCATCAACCTCTTTTAAAATTTGATTCTTTTTCTTCACTTTGAGGATTCAAATTGTTCTTTTCTAACATAATTTTTTTTGGTATTATTGGTTTTCTTTGCGCTGCGTTACAATGTGAAATTTATGTTAGTAGTACAAAATATGCGGTGTGCTAATTCACTGAAATACCTTAGTTTCTTCACTATCATGGATGAGAAATCAAACTTGTACATATACTCTATCTCAAATTTTTTCGAGAATTCTTATACTCTTTTCAAAATCACATTCATTTGTCGATTGGATAAATTTTTTATATTACTTCGTATTCTAAAATCCTTTCAATTTCATTAAATTGGCAACAAACAGTTATGACTTATATCATATTAATGTACTTCTTAATCAAAGCAATTTTAAAATCGGAGTACACTAATAGTAATACAAACAATTATGACTTATATCATATTAATGTACTTCTTAATCAAAGCAATTTTAATATCGGAATTGGGCCCCGGCTGTGCTGTGCACAGCCGGAAACAAACTAGTAATTCAAATAAAAAAAGATGCAAATAAAAGGATATAATATTGAGTGGCAAAATCGAACGGGAAATTTTATATCTATATATCTATAGTAATATAAAGAGGTTGTTGGAAAAATACAAAAATAGTAACTTTGACTTTAAAAATAATGTGTTGACTTACTATTAGTAGAAATTTTGAAAAAAGCACATGTGAATCTTTAGAAATCAAATTTAAGGGAGATATCCCAAAAAATGTGGAGATTCTTAAGGTAACAAATTTGGAGATTATTAAGGTAACAAATTTGGATATACTTATGCCAAAATTTAATTCATTTCATAAATACGAATCTCATTTTTATTGGTAACAAATTTGGAGATTCTTGTGCCAAAAAATTGAAATTTTGAATTGAGATATCCCAACAATTACGAATTTTTTTTCCATTCAAATTAATGTTTCAAATCAAACAAAAAATTGTTCCGAGAATAATGGATGTTGTATTAAATATCGATAAACTTCAATCCTCTATAGATTATTTATATTTGTGCATTTTGTGTGTAAATATATTGTTTTTTTTTTCTAAATAATACTAAATTACCTTATTTTAGGACCTAAATCCTAACTTCTTTTCTATTTTTTGGTGGTTTATATTCTTTAATTGAAATAATATTTGACTTATTTGATTAAAACAACTTATTTTCTTTAGGAAATAAATTTAAGTGAGATATCCCAAAAAAATTTAAGATTCTTAAGGTAACAAATTTGGAGATTCTTATGCCAAAATTTAATTCATTTCATAAATACGAATCTCATTTTTATAGGTAACAAATTTGGAGATTTTTATGGCAAAAATTGAAATTTTGAATTGAGATATCCCAACAATTATGAATTTTTTTTTCCCATTCAAATTAATGTTGCAAATCAAACAACAAATTGTTCCGAGAATAATGGATATTATACTAAATATTGATAAACTCCAATCCTCCATAAATTATTTATATTTATGAATTTTGTGTGTAAATATATTGATTTGGTTTTCTTAGATAATAATAACTTACATTATTTTATGACCTAAATCCTAACATCTTCTCTATTTTTTGGTGGTTTATATTCTTTAATTGAAATAATATATGAATTATTTGATTGAAACAACTTATTTTCTTTAGGAATCAAATTTAATGAGATATCCAATAAAAATTGGAGATTCTTAAGGTAACAAATTTGGAGATTCTTATGCCAAACTTTAATTCATTTCATCAATACGAATCCCATTTTTATTGGTAACAAATTTGGAGATTCTTATGCCAAAAATTGAGATTTGAATCAAGATATTCCCACAATTACGGATTTTTTTTTCATTCAAATTAATGTTGCAAATCAAACAAAAAGTTGCTCCGAGAATAATAGATGTTATACTAAGTATTGATAAACTTCAATCCTCCATAAATTATTTATATTTCTGAATTTTGTGTGTAAATATATTGATTTGTTTTTCTTATTTGATTGAAACAACATATTTTTAGCCATATAATCATATAATATAAAAAATTCACGACTTAAATATATATCCATGAATATATAAAAACGCAAAACATTTAGCTGTGAATAGTATGTAAAATCCCGCATAAAATTTTTGTTTTTACTGATAATGAATTTATTAAAAAAAGGGTAAATTCCCACCTAAAGCACAAATTGATTTATATTTATATATATATACAAAAAAAGGTTTGAAAATTCGGGCAAATCTCTATCTATGGATATTTTTTTGTCCATATCTATTAAACTACAAAATCTTTTTAAAGTTTGGAAAGAATCTCATATTATGTGAATTCCTGGTAAATATTTTTTTCTCCATATTTATCTAACTACAATATCTTTTTAAAGTTTAGAAAGAATCCATCTTTTTAAAGTTTGCACTCAATCGATCCCTTATATAAACCCCTCCCCACCCAATTACAAAATCCTAAGTTTGAGACAAAAAAAAAAATCAGTTAGTCACAAATAAAAAAAAAATCACAAAAAACTCTTAAATAAAAAATTCAAATCAACCTATCGAATTCTAGGGTTTACTTCGACATAACAATCAGCAGCTAGCCCCGCCGCTGAATCGTGATGGAGCTCTTCGTCGACGTTGTCACGAAGACCGACGAGAACTTTTGCGCCCTATGCACCAACGAGAAGGACGTCGGCAAATATGGCAATCCCCTCCACCACAAAGGGTCATCCTTCTATCGTGTAATCCCCAATTTCATATGTCAGAGCAGTGACTTCACTGCGGGTAACGACGGCAAGTCGATCTATGACGCCAAGTTTACCGACGAGAACATCATGAGAAAGCACACCGGGACCTGTCGATGGCGAAGGCTGTTCCGGGGACAAATGACATGTACTTTTTCATCTGCACGACAAGGACGAAGTGGCTTGACAACAAGCACGTGGTGTTCGGGCAGGTGGTGGAGGAGTACGACATATTGAAGGCGGTGGAGAATGTCGGGTCAGGGAGCTACCGGACCTCGAGACGGGTGGTGATCGTCGACTGCAACCAACTCCAGATCTGATGGTTGTGTGTCGTTTAATTTGAAGTTTGTTGGAGACTATTTTCATAACTACCTAATAATTGTCTTCTGATTTGTTAAATTTGAAATTAAAAAATACTTTGTTGGATACTTTTTTTCATAACTACCTAATAATTTGTCTTTTGATTTGTTTAAATTTGAAATTAAAAAATGAAGTTCATGTCACGTTCGTAACACTCTGGAAATCATATAAGAATTTTATATTATATGATCGATTGGTTCCTAAAAACTTGGCGCATATATACAATCATTTTTCAAAACTTAAAATTTTAAGATTACATATAAATATTTCTTCAAATGTTCATATTTATCTTTTTAAATTTATTAAAGTTTTAAAATTACAATTAAATATTTTTTCAAATGGTCATAGTTATCCCAACACATTTTATCACACTAAAAATAATATATTACGATTTATCTCACTACAAATAATATATTATAATTTAGTTTTTTTCACACAAATGTTTGAAAATTTTAATTTGTTGACAAGAAGGTTTTCCACAAAATAAAACATAAAATATTGTGTATAGGGAATTGTTCAACAATATATGATTTTTCATACTCTGCATCTAATTTATAATAAAATGTTTAAACTTTAGTAATTATAAAGTTTTAAATAAGTTTTGAGGAACAAGCCTCACCGTGCATCGCACGGGTTGCTCACTAGTGACACATAAAATGGTTCAATCATTGTTCAAAACCGCGTAATTTGAGTTAGTTGGGACTATTGTTATAAATAAAATCAATTTCGATTGGATTTATTAGTTAAAGTTAGTAAATTTAGAATAAAGTTGATTGAGTGAAATAATGATTGAGATTTTGAGTTCATATTTAAATAATATTTAAAATGTATTAATTTTAATTTATGTGATGTAAAAGTAGTAGATACGTTAGTAAAAATAATAGATAGTTAAAAAAATATAAATAGATAAATAGTTAATTAAAGGTGATATGATCAGTGAGGATGATTAATCGCTATTATTTAACCGTATTGATAATATTGATGAAAGTTAGTTAGATTAATTTTGAATTGAGATTTTGAATTAAGTAGTGTAAAATATTCGATCACTTAAAAACCGGTTTTAACTTGTATATTTAAAAAGGTTGATGTAAAAATTATTTTTAGAAACCTAAAATAAATTGAGTTGACTTTTGGCTTTCTATTTATGTAATCTCATTCAAATTTTAAAAAACAATCGTGATAATGGAATACGAAATTGATAATTCCGTTAATTAAGGCATTAGATATTCCCCTTTTTTTAGCAATGGATATATCCTTAACGTGATAAGATATATACATATGATTGCATATTTTGTTGTTGCATCCCAAAAATCATGGAATTTAATATCTATCCAAATACAATCCATAATTATCTTCAATCACTTTTGGTGAATAAAAACAATATCTTCCATTTTTTTTTCGGTCAATTGAAACGTGCAGAAAAGAAATTGTATAAAAAATATTCACTTCCACCATTACAACTCATCATTCACAGAGAAAAAAAATAGAGAGACTAACTCTTCGACAATATAATGGTTCCAGACTGGGGTACACTTGATTCCGTTAACAAAAGAAAGAAATCTTTTTTGCGTCTGAGAGCAGTCCGCATTATTGAAACCCATCACGAACAGGAGAGCTGTAACGCATTTTCATGATGAACAGGTTTTACCTTTGTTATTTCAATTTTATATAATTTAGAAAATTATTTTAATTAATATTTATAAATTTGCTTTCATTGAATGCGTTATCCGAATATGAGAGCAACAAACTTTATATAAACTGAGAGCAGTTTTTGTAAAATATGTAAACTTTAAACGTATTTTTATATATAAAATTGTATATACTTTTAAACATGTTAGTTGGACAAATTTTAAGGATATATATATGTGTATGCTAACTTTAAGTATATATATTTTTCTTATAAAATAGTCTAGACAAAATTGAGGTAATTTCATATTTTTCAATAATAATATAAAATATTTTAATACTTTCACATATGTTATATAATAGCCTACGTATTCTTAATGTCTTTTGGTTGTAACATTGTTAACACATATAATATTAGATACTTTTAAACATATTTAGATAATTTTTTTACTCATTCTTTAATATCTATGTGCATAAAAAGAGAATAAGATTTATAAAAGATTTTCCGGCAATATACTAAATGTTAGATAAAAAATCTCATTTTATTTGTTATATAATATTTCAAGTTGCATTAATTTTGATTTGTATGTGTAAAATTGAGAAATTAAGCGTATGAAAAGGAGCGTACGAATTACTGTAAAGATTTAAAAAATAAAAAATAAATCTAATTTTTGAATATTTTCCACTAACTTCTAAACGAATTTATGTCATAATTCGTCATAATTTTCCCACATCATGTCAATATTTATTTTATATATACTAGGTAAAAGGTAAATCATTATCTCAATATTTATTCTATATATTCTAAGTAAATCTTCTCATCTATCTCAACGGTCAGCAGGTAGTATTTCATACTTTTCTATTCATAATCAAATATATCAAAGCTTCACAAATTTTACTTCACAAAGAAAGTGTTCAATAATTTATATTTTTTTTCCTTCTTTGCAATCTATTTATTTTTGTTACATATATATAAATTATATTATTTTTAATATTTCACACGTTAAACATTTCAGGAAAATATACCATCCCGTGCATCGCACGGGCTACGCGCTAGTATATAAAAATCAAGTGGAAAAAAAAATCTGGACAAAATTCAAAAGCCCATATTCTCAGAATACGTATTTTTTATTAATTTTTTTTTTAAAAAAACATATTCTCGTAATACGTTTTACAATGTAAAACGTATTCTCAGAATACGCGCTTTTGATTTTTGTCCACATATTATTTTTTTTTTTTGTTTTGGT